TTATTACTTTGAAAGATTATCAGATATGAATATATTTTAATAAATTTTTTTTACAAACCATTAGATACTATTACCCAAGTTATCTTCGTTTTAAATTCATGAAGGAAATTTTTAATAACCCAACTTTTCAGTACATGATTTTTTTTAAAAAATCGATCATGTTTTGTATGTTACCAATTTTCTTACATTATTTTGAGATAGCTACGTTTGAAGCTCGTACAAAAGTCAATGATCATGGTTTTTTAAAATCCGTTTCGTAGTTTGTTTAATTTTTACCACTGGTTTTGGACAGTCATTTCAAACGTATTATCTCTTTAGTGTTCAGCGTTCTCATGTGAAGACTGATAATTTTTTTCAACATATTAAGTAACATGACATACTAATAACATGATTTCATTATTGTCAGGCATCATAGTTAAACGTAACATTTATATGTCGCCATTACAGACGATTAAGTCGCCAACACGCTAGTAAATGCAGCTTTTTTTCCTCTTTCCAAGGCCACGTTTTTTATTTTATGTAAGAGATTATTAAAATAATAATAAAATAAAATTTACTTCATTATCACTTAAATTGAAGATTTTTTGTTTCAGTGTAGAATCAGGTGCCCCTTGGTTTGGCGATAATTTTCGTTCTGTTTTGCTAATCCTATTTCTGGTTACCATGATATACTTTGCGGTCTTTGATTTCAATGACGCCACCTTCGGGTTATAGTAACTTCTGGTTACCTTTATGTGATTGATTTTTGTTTTAATTATATATATATTCGTTTAATTGTAAATCGCCGAAAATGAGAGAGGCCCCCGATTGTAAACTATTAAAGGACTTTTTACATCATTACAGTGTAAGAATTAGTGTTTGGGTTTAAGTTTAAATTAGAAAGAAAACATTTGACAGCATTTTATGAAGATTAATGAATTCTCGTGACAATTTAAAGTTAAATAAAATAAAATTACATGGGTGTCAACAACATCTCCTAAACTTACTGATAATACATCAATTGGGTACTTACATTAAATTTATCAAGGCAGGAAATAAATCACAGCAGTTTTATAAATAAAGTGAATAAAAAGTTTAAATTTAAATTCATTTATTACCTGAAAATTTTGCATAAATTTAGTTTTTTTTCCGATGTATAATCGTAATTTTGCCATTTATTTGTTTAGTTATTCAATATCGGTTGAGGTTTTAGATTTTAAAAGCTCGCTTTTTTATGTTTTATGTTTTTGCTCACTTGAAGATTAGTAGCGTAATAAAAGACAAGACAATAACAGACAAAAAAACAAAACAAAAAAATGAATAGACTAATTTTATATCATGATTAAAATAAACTTGGAGCTTTATAATTGAGACCAATAGGAAATGCAACTGAATCGGATATTGTAAATGTGATAATCTGAGGATAAGCGGAAACTAAATTTTTATCCGAGTTTTTTTTTTCCGATCTGTTTATAGTTCTACCTAAGTCATGAAATCCTTAAGAAATATTTATATTTATTTATTTTTTTATTTTGTTCTTTTTATAATTAATACATTTATTGGGGTTAGTATAATGCTTACAGACATGGTTAGATGGCAGTATTTTTTATTCTTAAGCAATAAAAAATTAATAATAAGGACTGGATTAATAAGTTTAATTTCAATTTTTAGAAATGTTGTATGAATCTTTCAGAATGCAAATAAAAACTAAATTTTTTTTCTTAAACGTATTTCGTAACCTATTAAGTGGTAATTTAGAATGAAACAAAAGATCTTGGGGTAATCTATGACAACAAACGACATTTATAAATTGTTCATTTTTTTAAAAAACCACCAACGCGATTTATAGGTAGACAATAAGTTGTTTTGGTATATTGCACTGTTACGTAGTAGAACTTCATGAAACTTGTAAAGCATATAATTGAAAAAAGGAAAAAGAGACTAGCTGATAGTTTCATATAAAAATGCCCATTTTAAAAAAGTGTGGCTTGTCCCTTTTTTTGCCCGCTTCAAATTTAATAGCTATGATGCTTGTTACTAAAGATAATAAATAGAAAAATTATAAAAATAAAGAAACTGTGTGTGTGTTTTTTATTATTTTTTTTATAACCGTCGCTGAACAACCGACCCAATTTTGGGTTTACAACTACTAATGTTCAACTCCGTAGCCTTGTAATTTTGAACCAATCCAGAAGACAAGGAAACTCCTGAATCAGCACCCCCAGAGGTATGATTTGTTATGGGAACACGGAGGACTTTGTGACTCGACAGATTTAATGTGCATAAGTCACCATTTACTACACGGGTGGGGTCTTCGGAGAGTGGAGATCGAACGTTCGACCTCTTGGGCATGGGCCCATTCGTCAAGATTTCTACTTCAGACTGATTTTCATGCATAAAAGCTTGAAAAAACACACCATCCAATATTATTATACTTGTAATGTTTTCAATGTAAAACGTTCTTTCCTATCTAACTTTCAACGAAGCAAACAACAAATGAATTCGGAAAACCTCCGCAAGCTATGATGCTACCCAAAAAATAACAAACGGTGCTATTTTACAAAATGTAACTAAATAAGGGATAACACTCAAAACATGGCTAACGTTACACAGATTAACAGATAACAATGATATGTAGAGAATCAAAGGAGAAGGAAATACGTTAGGCTCTCTCTTGATTTTTTAAATAGATTAAAATCTTTTTAGGTGGAAAATTATTTGGAACTGAAAACTATATTCAACATATTTCTAAAAGAAAGCGTTAAGTACGAAACAGTTAAGTACGAAATATATTAAGTAAGAGGAAAATGCTGTATTACATTCAGGAAGGGGGAAGGGTCAAGACACGGAAACGGTCTTGCGAAGTGTTGCCATAGGTAGAGAGTTCCGCACTGCTCAAACTGCACCCCATTTCGATCGCAAATTATAACAAAATATTTAGAATAGTTTTTAATTTTTCCTGTAGTTAAAATTTACGGAAACCAAAATTTTGCGTTTCGCAATCGCAACTCTTGAGTACGCCCTCTAGTGGAGCCTGAAAATATCAGTCATTTATTTATTTAGTTCTACCATTAGCAGAGTTGGACGTCATTTTCTTAGTAGCAAATAAGAAACAAAATTCCCCTAAGGAAAAGGCAGAAGAACTTGAAAAAACTAACCAGAACATTGTTAAATCTTTTCGAAACAGAACACGCCAAACATTTGAAGAACAATTTCTCAATAATTGTTACCTTTCTATTATTAACAAGCTTATTATTAACATCTTCAATTTAATACAAATTAAAGTGAAGTTAACATTGCTTACTTCATTCCAATGAATAAATGTAATTTCAGAACATGCATAACTGTAATTGTTATAGAATAGTATATATTTCTGAATCTATATAATTCGGATAGAACAATAAAGAATCCTCCGAATTACTTGAAATAGTATCATTTATGTTGATTATTAATACATTTTTATCATTTTCTTAGTAAGTATTTTTTTTGTTTTGAAGGAATAATTTCAACTAGAATTCAGCTATTATGTTTTTAAGTTACATACGTATTAAAATTCATATCGAGATCTTGCAATTATAAAATTTTATTGTGTGGTATGTCATCTTAAAGTAATGAAGGGTTAATCTATGTATATATTATGTATTTCAGATTAAAGTTTTCAAACGAAGAGCATATCATTTATAAATCAGGTAAGTGTTATGATTTTTATAATAAAAAATTAACTTGTAAATATTTTATTCTAATTTGATGATAGTTCTCTATAGAATAGTTTTCTACGTCCAATTAATAATAAAACAAAACATGAAGGTTTTTTTTTAATTTAAGGAAATTTTAGAATCGTTTTTTATTTTTTTCGTAAGCATTCTTTATTTTGCGTTGTTTAGTTTATAAATAATGATTTTTATTAAAAATTAAATTTTTTTTAAATAAAATTTGCTGTCAAAAAACTTTTTTTGCAAAATTAAATGATATAAAATTATGTGCTTATGTATACTTTTTGCATATTTTAGTGTTTGAAGACATACGATTCATAAAACTATGATATTGCAGGCTTTTATGGATTTTGCATTCTTTAGGTTTAAATCTAATAAGAAGATTCATATTTTTTGTCCTGTTTATTTACAAATATTTTTCCGATGTGTTTTGGATGTTCCTTCTCTAAAAAATTAAAAAAAGGAGAGATACCATTTTGTTTTCGCTTACATAGGAAAGAATATCAAACATTTTTATTTTTTAAATTTAATAAGCCGCAATAAAGAAGTGACGTTAAAATGCTACACGCTACATTCTCCAGAGCAACTGAATGACTGTTCATTTAGAAATCGCAGGAATTCGTCTCATACAACAACGTCCATGTAGTTCGTTGCGATCGCGAATTGAGTATCAATTAGTTGAAAACATAGAAATAAGAGAATAACGAAGTGCACGTTTACAGAAATATAAATAAATATCTTAAAATTCATATGATCAAATTTAATCCACTTGAATATATAATTGAATATAATTATAATATAAGACAACAAATATATAAACATTAATAAAATTCAAATAACATAAATAGAAACGATAAAGTATATTTTTGAATTAACGATTAGTTTCACCGTTTTATAACACACATTTGTTTTTTTATAATTTAAGTATTCTTTACTGTAATGAGCCAGTTGAAAATTTTTTAGCAGTTCCAGTCGAGATAACTCTTCCTTAAGAGCCATTCTCGCTGAATGCGGTTTGCGCACTTATGAATTTCGCTGCGAAAAATAAAGAAGTTAATTTGTGAGATTTTTGCCAGAAAATATTTTTTACGAGTCACGTTCTCATCCTCTTGGGTGTGTCATCGAAAGTGCGTGAACCGCATTTACTAAGAGTGCAGCAATCAGATTCGAAAGCATGCATTTTTCGCATGCAGGGAAAACGGCTCTGTAACTTTCGGTGGTGTGATTAATGTTTGGATCTTTAGTGACAGTAAAGGTATGTAGTTACTGTATAAGTAAAACCTGTCAATTTTGAATTTTTTAGATCGTTTTTTAAAAATAATAAATAAAATAGTTCTATTACATACTTTTAAAAGAATTTTAATTTACTCTTATTTACAGTAACAGTAGCAGAATTTTTCATTTACTTAGTCATTTGGGATTTTTGGTTATCAATAATATATAGATTATTTTATCACATCATAAGAACAAAAAAAAAGAAGAAAAAAAACTTTTGACCTTGACGTAAACAAACTGACTACACGTGACAGTGTTTTCACTGTAAGAAATTCTTGATTACATTGAGACGACCCTGAAGTATTCACCTCCGAAAGTCGTCTTGATGTTCAATTTTGTTATTTATCAGGTTTCATCATTGTAAATCATGTCCACTTCAGAATCCATAGATGTTGTAGTTCCGGGCATTGATAATCTTTTTAAATTAGATCCATATTTAAAAAGTCATGAAAAAGAAATAAAACGCCGGTAAGATAATAAGTTTAATAAAATAATCACACTTAAATAAAATATTATTTTAGTTGCAAATTAGTATATAGTAAATTTTTCGTGNTTTAGTGACAGTAAAGGCATGTAGTTACTGTATAAGTAAAACCTGTCAAATTTGAATTTTGTAGATCGTTTTTTAAAAATAATAAATGAAATAGTTCTATTACATACTTCTAAAAGAATTTTAATTTACACTTATTTGCATTAACAGTAGCAGAATTTTTAATTTACTTAGTCATTTGGGATTTTTGGTTATCAATAATATATAGATTATTTTATCACATCATAAGAACAAAAAAAAAGAAGAAAAAAAACTTTTGACCTTGACGTAAACAAACTGACTACACGTGACAGTGTTTTCACTGTAAGAAATTCTTGATTACATTGAGACGACCCTGAAGTATTCACCTCCGAAAGTCGTCTTGATGTTCAATTTTGTTATTTATCAGGTTTCATCATTGTAAATCATGTCCACTTCAGAATCCATAGATGTTGTAGTTCCGGGCATTGATAATCTTTTTAAATTAGATCCATATTTAAAAAGTCATGAAAAAGAAATAAAACGCCGGTAAGATAATAAGTTTAATAAAATAATCACACTTAAATAAAATATTATTTTAGTTGCAAATTAGTATATAGTAAATTTTTCGTGGATCTGTTTCAGCAGAAAATTAAATATATATACATTTCATAATTATTGTATATGAAATTGATCATCATCCATTTTTATTATTTTTAATAAATGTGTGATTAAATATAAGATAAAGGGAAATAGGAACTTCAATCATACTTTTAAATTCAAAAACTGGTTTTTTCATCATTTGTAATTCTGAACTTTATTTTTTAGCATGATGCAGTTACTGCAAATCTGAAGTGTTTTTTTGGAGTTGTACTGTTCCCTTAATCCTACTTTAAAAAGTTATTTAACCAATTAAAATTTTCTAAAGTTTTTTATTACTGTCCAAAACTCTTGTTTTTAAACAGTATTCATAAAAATTTGTATGGGTTGCTTATTGAAATTTCGGTGGAAAGCTAAAAGTTTCGATTGAACTATTAACTGCGAAAAATTCGGACCTAAAAAAACATAAGATGTATGTAAGAAAGAAACTGAAGGCAAATTAAAGATTTCAAAAATAACATCCTATTAGCTCAAGTTATTTTTGGCAAAGGAAACCAGAAATTAGAGCATGGTTAAGCATTTATGGATGCTGATTAACAAAAATGAAAAACTTTACAACGGAAACTATATAGGAAACTGCATAATTTGTAACATTCACACCAAGCATTGCATTAAAAAAAATTTTTTTTGGAGTGCAATGTAAATAGTTTTTATGGCATGAACTTAAATGAAATCCTCAAATTTTTCTATTGTGTTTACTAAAAAAGGATGTGAAGCAACTATAAGTCGCCATTCCGCAGTGAAAATAGTATTATTTACTTTAAAGTTATTTGTATGTGATTTGTGAATTTTATTTAATTTTTATTTTTAGTATATTCTTTTCTAGAAAAATTATACATTTTTCTCATGGAAAAATTTTATGTATTTTTTAAATTGGTAACTTCTACAATTTACTTCACCACACTAAACCTAGAATTCCCTAACAATCACTGAAATCCTCTTCAGTGCTTGCTTGTGGAGAGTTGTTATTAAATTTTTATTTAAAGTTACATCAACAATGTATAATTAACAAAAAAATATAACTACATCAATCTAATTAACAATAAAAATATAGCTATGTCAATTTAATTAACAATAAAAATATGTCTACATCATTCTAATTAACAATAAAAATATAACTATATCAATCTAATTAACAATAAAAATATGGCTACATCGCCTACATCAATCTAATAAACAATAAAATAGTGCTATAGAATTTTAGAAATATTGAACAGATCTTTATTTTTCAAAAGCTTTATATTTAACATAACAAAAACTTTAAAAATCCAGTTGAAGGATACTTATATTTAGCAGAGGGTTTAGGTACCTTTACTGGTTCATAGAACTTTGTAGATCAGTAAAAATCAATTCTAAATATCATCAAGTTAAACTCACAAATTTCTCTGCGAATTTCAAAAACTTGAAATGGAAAGCATGAATATTTTTTTTAAAGGCATTTCTTATCTTTTGCTTTTAAAGGATAAAAAGAAACTTGTCATTAAGGCTAATAAGACATTTTTTATTATTTGATTATTGAAGAAAAGTTGACTATCCATTTCATTAGTGAGTCCTATTTTTACAATGCCGTTACCATTTTTATTGTTATAAAAATTAAAATATACAAATTTTCTAAAATATTTCAAAGTATTCATTACTATAACATTAATTTTATTATACAAAATTTTCTATAATACTTCAAAACATTATTTTTTTTTCAATTCGAATATTTGAATAATATTTAAGTTATAATTTAATTCCAACAATTCATTATTTATTGTGCTATCTAAAAGAAACTTAATAGCTTTCAAAATCTTCAACACTTAAAACCCACTAAGTTTGTTTTCAACTGTGATAGAAGTTGAAAATAATATGTTCCCTATAATGTAGTTGCCCTTTCAGAAAAAAAAGTAGTTGTGCCTATAAATTAATATTTTATTATGTTACAATAGCTTTACTTATTAGACTAGTAAACTTTTCTTTCAGGTATGGTTGCTTTCTTACTTTACTGAAAAAAATTGATGAAAATGAAGGTGGGCTTGATAAATTTTGTCGAAGTTACAAAACCTTTGGTATACATGTCACACCTGAAAATGGTATTCGGATGGTGGAATGGGCACCGGGTGCTGAAGCTGTCTATTTGCGTGGCGAATTCAGTAAGAAATATTGTTTAACTTTTTAATATTGTTTCAAATTTTTCTTTTCTGTGTTTCAGCTTCATAAACTGGCTTTAAACACGGTTTTGGCATAGATAGCCTGTTTGGCAGGGCACTGGACTCACATTTGTGAGAACGGGAGTTCGAGTCCAGTCGGCGGAAGACTCCCCATGTAGTAAATGGTAACTAGTGTATGTTAAATCTGTCAGGTTATAAAGTCCTCCATGTCCCCATGATAAATTAATACTTCTGGGGAATTGGAGATTGATTGTTCTCTGGTTCAGGTCAATTTTACGGTCTCTGGATGTATGAATGGGTCCACCCTATAAACGGGTGTGGCAGAAATTGCCCTAGATGGCGCCACTGGAAAACGAGCAATCACATCCCCGTCTGCCTTAATGGCGGATGACAACAACAACAAACATGGTTTTAATTTTAGACATTTTAAATTGACTTTGGTATTAGACACAAGTTATAGTTACAAAGTCTTTAACAAATATAGAAAAAATAATGTTTTCTCTTCCAATATTATTACGGTGGTTTTCAGTTTTTTTTAAAAATTTAATTCAGTTTTCCGGAACAAAACTTTACATTGTAATAGGTCAAAAATAGGATTATTGTATTAAGCATTCTTAACTAGATTTAGAACTGGAATTTGTCCAAAAAGTCTGTAAGTATTGTTCAAAATTTAATTTTTTAAAAAAAGTTTAAAAACTTCAATTATTATTCTTATTATTAATAAAAATTTTATGCACTTTTTAGTATTCATAAAATGTAGCTATTTCTGATTTAGATGCCTCTTTTTATCAATTTCCCAAAAAAAATAATCAAATTAATGAAGCCAGTTTTTTTTAATTTTCATAATTTTTTTTTAAAACTAATTTTCAACAAAATCTAATTTTAAATGAATAATGTTTTAATGAGTTTACTTTTTTAATTTGTTTTGACATTAGATAGAGTAATTAAGTTCAAATGATTTGCATTTGAAAAGATTTAAGGTAGACCTATATAATACACACAAATAATAATAAAATTGTCATTATTATGTATAAAAATAACAATTCCAAATCACTTTTTTTTTTAGATGACTGGAAAAGGGTGACCCATCCTTTTAAGAAACTGGATTTTGGAAAATGGGAATTAGAAATTCCTCCAAATCCTGATGGTAGCTGTCCAATCGCACATAATAGTACCATAAAGGTAGTAGAAAATTTTAATTTGATGTTTCTTGTAACCTTTATTGTATTTGATTAACTTTGCTTTTTTTTTTAGTTAGTTATATTGACTCGTAATGGAAAAATGGAAGATCGCTTATCCCCCTGGTCAACTTATGTTGTTCAACCACATAAACAAATAGTTTTTGATCAAAGATTCTGGAACCCTCCCCCTAATGAGGTAGGTGAAAGAGATTTAATGATTGGTGAGAATATGAACACATATTATAAGTTTGTTAAATGATACATAATCTTATTGTAATCACTTACTTCAAAGTGGTTGTTAGAAGTGAAGTGTTCCATTTATAAATAAAAGGTTCTGTCTTATTTTAAACACATATTCTCTTCACGAGAAAATTGGGTTGTTATACTTGCTAATTACTAGACAAAGTGCAAAAGGTTTTATTTTCATATTTAGTGATGCAAAATTTCTGCTTAATTGTTTTAAATTTATTTTAACCAGCACTATATTTAACTAGTTTAAACTTACTTATATAAGGCCTGTTAATTATTTTATTGTATTGTAAGTGTTGGCTAACTGTGAATTTAAAGTTTGCTTACAATGTCACTTCAATTGGCATTTCACTATCATGAGATGAAAACACTACCTTGAGGAATGTAAATGTTGGCAGATTTGGGTTGCACATACATTTTGTTTTCACGTCATTGAAAATTTAAATTATGTTTTAGTTTGTTTTTTTTTAACTGTAAATTTCTATTTCTTCAGCAACATTAAAAAAAATTTGCTATTTTTTCATTGCATTTTCTCTTTACTAAAAATGGAGTTAAATGATGTACATTTATTTTAAGGTTCATACTAAATAAAATCCTATTAAGCTTTGGCTCAAATTATGTTTTCTGACTAGGGCTTTCAAAATTGAGTTAGTTTTTTTACTTAGAGGTTTTACATACTGTAACAGTCTCATAATTTTTCTGCATGCTATTAATTTAAACTTTGAAACTGCAAAAAGTTTTGAAATAACAAAATCCTTGCTTTTTTTTCCAGTTTGATATTTGTTATAATAACGCAATATTCAAAACAATAGAAATTAAAAAGAAAAAAACTTTAAAGTTCTGGAATGACTGCAAAAAAAGCAATAAAAAATGTAGATTTACAATGGCATTGTTTTGAATCAAATGCTTCAAAACATGATTTGAACTTCTGGTGTTGTAATAGAACCATTTTAAATGTGTTATAATTTTAAAAATCATGCTGAAATGACTATGCAATAGTTATAGTAAACAAATAATGAAACATGAGTGTATGATAGAATGAATTATTGTGGAAAGAGCATTTTTTTCATATTGAGGTTTAGTTATATTTAGTTAAAGAACGCAAAATCTAAAAAGAGAACGCTTGTTTCAAAACTGTATTTAAATTTTACTGCGAAAATAAACTACAAATATTTCTTGTGATATTGATGCTTTGATTAAATAAAAATAATTTCTAGTCCCCTATTAATTCTGAAATAGAGTTAATTCTTTTTTGATATTAAGTGATTTTTGTCACCGAATATTTTAGATATGTTCGGTATCTAAAAACAGTAGGCTCACAATTATCCAGCCTATTAAAAAATAAGAAATATTGGTAACTTTCATGGTGTAAGGTTAAAGAGGAAAAAAGGAAAGAAAAATGCAAATGTAGTGGTCTGTACATTTTTGACATTCTTGTGTAATTTATTATTAGTAACCATTCAGCACATTTTTCACTTATTGTTTATCATAACACATATTTTTAATTCTGTGGAAGAAAGTTAAAAAATAGAACTTAATCCTCTCCGGCTATTTTATTGTCTGGTCTACCCTTCCTAAACATTAGACCAGATAATCTGGAGTCTACTATTTAATCATATTTTATTTGTTTATGACAACAAAAATTATAAAATACAGGAATTTTAAAATAAATAAATAAAACGTTGCAATTTTGTTTGAAATTAGTTATGTTGTTTATGAGATATTCCAAAGTCATTGATGTGTCCTATAATGCAAAAATGCTATAAAAATTTAAAAAAAAAAAAACCTTTCTTGAGAATGTCTTTTTTGCTCTTCTCCAATTCAAGATATAATTACTTATTTTCCTTTATTGTAAGATTTTATTTTCAAATCATTATAATAATTTTGTCTTGCCATTATAATTTTAGTTGTACTGTATTTTATTTACTCTATATTTATCTTTTAAAGAAAATTTCGAAATTATAAAGTTCTTTAAAAATGTTTTTTTAAAAAAGGACCATATTTTTTATTTTGTTGCCTTTTTTTTGCTGCTCTTATCTAATTAAGAATTTAATTTTCTCCTTCTAGTTTTATTATTTTGACCTATTTCGCTAAATATTTTTTTGAATTTTAGAAATATTCCTTCAAGCATCAAAAGCCAAAAAGGCCAAAAAATATGAAAATATATGAATGCCATGTTGGAATTTCATCACCAGCCGAAGCAGTTGCCAGTTACAGCTATTTCAGTAAAAATGTTATTCCCAGAATTAAAAATCAAGGTATGTTTTTGAACTTTTATTTAAACTAAATTTTAGTCATTTTTTTATCATCAAGGCCTTGTATTTATATGAAAGGATGTATAAAATTATTTTAAATTAATTCTAGTTATTAAATCTGTCAGGTTATAATGCTATTCAACTGATGGCAATTATGGAACATGCTTATTATGGCAGCTTTGGATATCAGGTTTCAAGTTTTTTTGCTGCTTCCAGGTAAATTTAATTAAATTTGTTATATTTTTAGTTTAATTTTAAATATTATTGTTAAGAACTCTTTCAAATACAATTTTTCTTTCCTTCCGAAATTCAGAGACGTTAGCTTTTAAAATTCAATTTAGTTTCATTTTCAACCAAGTCATCATAACCTTGTTACTCTATTTTTAATCTAGTTTTAGGTGTGGCATAGCCATAACATGGCTCTTATACCAAAAATTATATCACTTACACACTTTAAAAGTGTTTTTACCTTCAACTATTTTTTTCTACAATTATTTCAAGTAAAGTCATGTAGTTAATGAATAAACTTTGTTCTATTTTTATCTGTTCAAGTAATATATTTAGCACCTAATATTTCAGTTACAATTAGTTCAATTAAGGTGCAAAATCTCAATCTATATTTTCTCTCAAATTTTTGAAAAAATTTATCGACTTAATTTTTTTAATTAAACATTTGAAGGTTTCATGTACATTAATCCTGTACAAAATGGCTGGAATCAGATAGCTTAATAGGGATATAACTAACTCAGTGGCGCGACAGCCCATTAAGAGGGCCAAGGCCTACTGTGCCCATCTCAGTTTTCTTGACCTTGGGCTCTGGGGTGCAGGAGCAGATATTCTGGTCAGGTGGTCAGCCAAACGCGGAACCCCCAGTGTTTAGTTCCCAAGCATGCTTGGTACTCATTTATCGACCCACTGAAGGGATGAAAGGCTGAGTCAACCTTGCACTGCCCGAGGATCGGACCAGGGACCTGTGACACGACAGCGCTACCGCTCAGCCACCGGGCGCCAATTCTTATATTTCATCAAAGTTAAAGTTAAAACAAGACCTTTGATTTTCTATATTTTATTTTTTGAACTTTTGATATGAAACTGTTAAAGAACATCATCAGAACAGTTAATATATCAGCAGTACATCACAGAGTCCCTCAGTGAAATAATTATATGTAAGATAATATATGCACTTAAAACACTTTTTAATATTATAATTTTGCCAAATTTCATGTAGAGTTTCTGACATTTTAAACTCAAACCTGATTTTTCAGTTTGAAATATACATGTGTGTGTTATATGCTTCATTTAAATAAACCTTTCCTTTATCTTTAGTCGTTTCGGTACCCCAGAAGAGTTGAAAGAACTTGTGGACAATGCCCATGCTCACGGACTCTACGTACTGCTGGATGTTGTGCACAGCCATGCTTCCAAAAATGTTCTGGATGGAATAAATCAATTTGATGGAACCAATTCTTGCTTTTTCCATGATGGTGGAAGAGGAGAACACAGTCTATGGGGAAGCAGACTCTTTGATTACACTCAGTATGTTAAATTTCTGACTATTAGGGAATGAAAATAAAAGTTCAGTTCTCTATCTTTCGATGAGACAGGTTTTTGTTAGAAATAAGTATTTAAGATTTCATGTTTTGCTTAAAAAAGAAATCTGAAATTTTTTTGACGTATACAAAATGTTATATAACTTTTAAGTTCATTTCAAAAGGAAATTAAACTTATTACTATATTAAAAACAAATTCATACTTGCCAGGTCTCCTGTTTTTTGACAAGGACTCCTGTATTTTACGACTATCTCTTGTTTACCCTTATATACTCAATTTTCTCCGTATTTGTTGAATAAGTTTTTTTAAAAATATTTTTTTTAATAAAATATCCACTGATGGCAAAAATAAAATTAAAAAATCTTTAATTTATATTTTTTTACTTATTATTTGAAATTATAAGCTAAAAAGAAATCTCAACACCTCACCAGCAGCCCGTATATTTCAGAAACATTAATTGTGTTGAAGAGAAGGACATAACAAAATATGATTAAAATATATATGATTCCCTTTAGCTCAGGAGGTTAGTCAGTAAATAAAACAACTCCAATGCCCTCTTAGGAGCAATCATTTGTGTGCCCCTGGTGCATTCGAGACCCCAACAAGTCCTTAACCCACTTCTGTTTCACTGTGTAAGAGTCCTATTTTCAGTAGGGCATTGCATTGCCATTTCTGACTCGTGTGCCAATACACTGCAACTAACCAACCAACCAGCATCACCAATGTAAAAAGTTGAGCTGAGAGCCATACCCTCTGCAGAGGAGCAAAATTGCGATGGCATGTCTTCGGATTATCCTCAGGGATGTTTCCCAGATCGTTGCCAATATCCCATTGTACAGCTCTAGTGGGATGTAAATAAAGTTTCTACCTGCCTAAAATTTGTAACTCTGAGAAAGAGGTCTAGATAGGAGATTTTTTCCCATGGATTGTGTAGATTTTTTACTGTCTCCTATATTTTGTTTTAAAACGTCTGTGTTTCACTTCCTTGTGGTGCTCTCTAAAATCAAATTGAATTTGAGTTTCATTTTACGCAACTAGATAAGACATTTTTATTCATTACAGGGCTGAAGTATGATGAACTACTTAATGTGGTACTCTGAACCTCAGATTATATCTATTTTTAATATTTTGTGTAATAATAAATGTAAATTATTAACATGCTCCAGTGACAATGGAAAGGAGAAATGAAGCAGAATGATTTGTACTCTTGTATTTTGCTCTACATTAACTCTGTCTAGTAGCACCAATACTTGTGCTAAAAATATTGTTTCATATTCATTTAAAGTTTTTAACTATGAAGATCCCTTATAGAACTATTTAAAGGAAAAAAGTCAAACGGAAACTTTTTAAAAGAAACGGCATACTTATCAGTGTTTGTGGAGAACTATCATTAACTGATTTCCAGGTAACTGCTGCAACAGAAAATGTGAGACTTACAGTATTTTGTATACAGTAAATTTGAAGTGAAAAATCGTATTATTGTGCAATTTTCCTCATTTCAGAATTTTGCATGTTCTAATAATGTTCTGGTAAAAATAAACAAGATCTTAGAAACTAGTGGAAAATTTGTAGACACTTAGATTTATCATGAAAGACAGTATGTCAAAAAAAAAAGCAATTACTTAAATACAGCATTAAATGTTAATAAAAATCTATTAAAATCATTTGGGAATTAATAATAACACAAAAATAATTGAAAAACTAGGTTGATAAAAAATTATAGCAAATTAAGAAATAATTACTCAAACGCATTATTAAAAATTGGCCCTTTGTAATGATTATATATCTTCCCTGTCTAGAATTAAAAATATCGAAATTTCTAAAGAAACATGCAAAAATCCATAGCACTAACTTCAAAAGGAAAAATTTAACTAAAGTGCAATTCATGATTTTAGTGTCAAAATAATTCCATATTAAAACAAAATGCAGAAACATCAAGATTTTGCACAAAATTGGCACACTTGACTCAGTTTCAAATCAATAAAAAATAATAAGGGGGAAACAAATGTACTGTGCTGATTTTAATTATTCCTTTGTTACAAACTGGAATTGGTAGCACCACTTTTAAATAAATTCATATGGTATGACCATTTAATTTTTTGCACAAGGCACTCCCCCTCCCCCCTAGCTAAGTTGAAATTTTGCTGAACTTGTGTCTAACTGCTGCTGGAGATCTGCGTAAAAAAACCAGCTATAGTATATAAAAATGACGTATGTCCACAATGTAAATGAAGGGAAAAATTTTGAAAAATAAATAAATAAAATAAAAACATTTGCATTAAAATTGATGTTTGAAAATTGATCTTGATTTATTCACCTTTAAATTGTGTCTTTTTCATGATAGGTGGGAAGTGTTAAGATTCCTTCTCTCTAATCTGTGCTGGTATATGGACGAGTATCAGTTTGATGGATTTCGATTTGATGGGGTAACTTCCATGCTCTATCATCACCATGGAATGGGCACAGGTTTCAGCGGTGACTATAATGAGTACTTTGGCCTTAATACTGATACTGAATCATTGACTTACCTCATGGTAGCAAATCATATGCTCAAAGTTTTATATCCTGAAAGTTTAACTATAGCAGAGGTATTTACATTTTATACAAATTATGTTTGCTAGTATTAACTATCCGAACTTATTTCGTTCGAAAACCTCTGTTAAGCATTATCAGTTTTAAAATGTATTATTTTTTTTAACTTGGTGTGCTTTTTGCCTCATATTATCACTGCTTATTATAGAAAGGTAATTTCTATTTTTTATTGATTAATCATCAATAGAATAATGTACACGTGTATTTCGATCGTAGAATTTGCGGAGTCAATCTGCAGCACAATCTTAAAATATTTAAATTTGCCTGTGACTTCAATGTAGTCAGGCAAATATTATTATTGTAAAAATTAGGCTTAATCAAACATATAGTTAGCACAATTTAAAACTAATAAATTTTAAAACTTTGTCTAAGGTTCGTTTTAAAGAGAAAACAGATGCTAATGCTGAGCTTAATAAAGAATCAGGAAAAAAGATGAGCTTGTAGATGATGATATTAAAATAAAATCTTTTCTTTTTAAATTGAGAAATTAACAAAATTTTTATTCATAGTGTTCTGATTTGTGTCTATTTAAAGTTTTGTGAAATGAAATTCATTACCATACTATCGCAGATACTTTGTTGACAATAAAAAACATTAAATGTCTTTCTTCTCTATAAATTGTTTTTTTTTTTTTTTGAAAAAAAAGAAAAGGAAAACTATTTTTTTATTTTTATAAATGAGAATATAAACATTTCTTAGAAAAAAATTATCTTTAATTTTTACTTGTTCTGTTTTTTTGTGCTTGCAAGTTTTTTTCCCATTTGTTCTTTCTTTTTTCCCCTTTAATCTGAGATGAAAAATAATCTGCAGATACTGTGATAAATTGCAATGCCCGATACTGTGCTGGAGGATTTTTGCTACCAGGGATGAATAGTTGAAGTAAAAGTGAAAAGAAAAGAAAAAAATGCTGGCTATTTTTTAAAAAGCTACACTTTTTGAAAAAAATTTTTTTTTATAAAAACCATCTGGCATCGATCTTTTTTTACAGCTGACTTTTAAACATTTGATATTTTTTTCTTCTTAAGCAAGAGACTCATTATCAAAGTACATTTAAATTATAAAATCATTAAAATATCCTTTAGTAATTTATCTGATGATTGCATTAAATGTTCTACGTTGCATTAAATGTTCTGTTATAATTTGTTGATTAAAATGTTTGACCATTAAAAAGAATACTGTGAATAAAAATTATTTGTGAAACATATTTTATTATTAGATAAAAAAAATTTTAAATTCTACTTGAAGAAGTTGCTGTTTAGATGACTTTTAAAACTTTTTATAATGATAATCATATTTAACAGGGTGTGTAGTGTTTTTAAAATAGTGATTGAAGGTGCTTATTTTCGATATTCGATTTTTAAGGGTGTTTATTTCATTGGATGTTTTTAAAAAATTCTTAATTTTCTCTTTCCAAAATTGAAGTTTTTTTCTTTACCATATCAATTTTTGCCACGAATTACATAAAGAGCGTGGATTTTACATTGTTCTTCACAATTCATTCAACCGCAAGCTATTTCGGCACACCATCAGTCCGTAGTGTATGAAAGCGCCAATCATTTTAAATGATTGATTATATACTAGAGGGTCTGCCTATGCATATACTGAGCTGGATTCGGTGGGAGGGATTCTTGCATTCTCATGAGAAATTCTGCTGAATTTTGCAAAAGATTCTCAGTTTCAGGCTTAATTTTCCACCCTTTGAAATCTGAATGAGAGATCTCGAATTTTTGCTTATCACGGGGACCAAATTGTGTAGA